AGCTCCTCCGGGGGAAGGCCGATAGTCCCTCCAGCGTGTCCTAATCCTAATCCATGAAGCGCTTTATATATTCCTTAGGCTAGCTCCTAAGATAAACTCTATTGCACTGTGATGGAAAAGGACACAAACACACACACATCACTACAGCAAAGTGACACTTCTTGGTAGCAAGATCAAATCTATATAACATAGCATCTCATACTCAACTACACAGTCTGCACCAGGAGATCCATGTGCACGCAACCCAAATGTGCCCACTGGGCACAGTACACACTGGAATATTAAGATATGGGATAAGATTAAAGACTGCAATAACTTGAACAATGAAAACAAGCTGTGAACACAACACTGACAAATTATCACCTTTTACGTAGACATGAACATGTTATCAAACTATTATCAGTCATTTCCCAGTGAATCTAATTCAAATATTCACTTTTTTGCCTTTTAAAAGGCGCTAAAATCACATTGCAATTTCCTAGCTGCTTGTATATATAGACACGTTTGGCCATTTTTGCCTTCACCTAATAGAAAGTAATAAGAAAAATATTTAAATCAAAACCAAAACTGATGTTGATGATACTCCACCAGGGAAGGTCCAAAGTATGTTTGCTTGAATGCATCATCTCTAGTGCTTGAGTTTTTATTACTCTAACTGATTCATAGCTCAGTCTGTCTTTGCATGAATGACCATAATGTAGTCTGTGAGCTGTCAGCAGTCACAACAAAAAGACTGCCAGGTGCCCAGCTGGACCACCTCCAACAGTGTCTACTGTATATATGAACACACACATGTACATAACATTATTGAGTTATGTTGCTGACTACTGCATGTTAGCTATGGTGACAGACAACAGGACAGGCTTTTTTGCCAAGGGTTTGGCTGTGAAGAGGGATTAAATCTCCCCTGGGCTGGCTGCCATGAATTCCACTGTTCTAACAAAGTGGATGGTATGTTGAGTTGAAAGACCAAAAATACTATATAGTTAACCCTGTGCTCTCTTATATATGGCATTTCCAAGCTCATACAGTGAATGGAGAATGCCCACTGGTTCCTGTGAAATTTTGACATATGCGGGATAAAAAGTGATGGCAGAGTGTAAGGCTAATTCTTCATTTGTACTTTCATACCACATCAATGAGGAGAATACAGTAATGCTCCCATTCACACCCAAATGAGTTGTATGACAAACTATATTAGCCTGAGAACTGAAACACAATCAATAAAAGTTTTGTAAATGCAAACTGTAGAATGTGGGTTTTGCTGTTTCACTGAAACAAATTTCAAGACATTAAGGCTCATAACAGAAGCTGCTATTATGCTCTGTCAGTTCCCCTGTGTCAGTCTGCCTCTACTCCTGCAAATGGGCGTGTTGCCACGACAACAGCTTACACAACTTGCCTTCAGAGACCACCTGGAGGAGGTCTCAAAGTCACAAAATAAACTAATGCATGCACAAACATACAGTGGAATGGAATCAATATGTGGTGCTGCAAACACACACTCCCATGCACAATACACAGCAAATCACATACAAGTTCTTATCTGCTTTACACCACATTACAAAGGCCCACATGTCTGCATAAGCAAGTCTTATGCAGAGAACTTAATCTCTAATACTGACTGTGTTTACAGTTAAGACTGGCTGAGCAAGACAGGAATTACATGCATGTCCCAGTGACAAAAAAGGCTAAATCAGGATGGAGGAAGAAGGAAGTTTACCAGTTTCCTGTACTGATGTTTCTCCTGGCGAAGTGTGGCTACTTCAAGCCTCAGAGCCCGGTTTCTCTCTTCCAGCAGTTGAAAGCGGTTCACACTGTAGACTGACCGGCTTGAAGCTTGCCGAGATGAAACCTCATACCTTGACTGGAAGACAAAATTAAATATTAGGAAAAATAACCGACATTAAATATGAACTATGAACCACCCATGTATATTTGTAATAGATAGGCTGAAAGCCGCTCTTGAGACCTGGATATTTTCTTCTGTTGCTCAGTTTTCCTTCATGCCAGACATAGGTTTTACAACTTGATGGCACCTATTTTCATTGTTTTCTTTTGGAAAAGAACTGCTCTGCTGTCAATCTTGTAGTTTTCAAAATCACTTTGAATTGTGCAGCTGTTTGCCTTGAATTTAATGCTTTGCTGTGGTCTGTCTACTCTGAGCAATATACATGTATGAAATGGGAACATTCTGGAGCTTGTTCTTGTTTATCTATTTACACAAACATCTGTTTTCACGCAAAACATTAAGTATAATTTTCAATTGGTGGAAAATTAAGAGGTGAAAATATTAGCCCACTGTTCTCTTTAAACATTTTTTTTAGATTTTTTACTTGTAGCAAGCCCTGACAGAGCAACTGACAGATGGTTGTAACATCTGTTTATAATATTCTAGTATGTAAATTAACATGTTATCAGAACATTTGTTGAGCCCACAAAAGAACTCACATCTATAGACAACAACCAGAAGCCCCGACTGCAAGCCAGACTACCATCCTTCACAGAACAAATACTAAAACCAAGGTTGCAGGCAAAGTGTATCTAGTTGAAGCTACCAAAGTGAAAATGATGGAGCTGCCAAGCAGACAGAATGACAGCCAAATCCACCTGCTAATACAACAGACCTGCCAAGCAGACAAGCCTACAGATAGAGCTACCAGTGTAATAAGGTGAACTTTCCAAGAACAGACAGAGAAATACACCTGCCAACAGACAAACACATTCAGTCAGCCTATTAAGCCATATGGACATCCATGCAAGAACTAATTTACAAGTCATTTAGACAAAAAAAATCACTGATGCAAAAGTTAAATGCACTCAAAAGAAAAACAATCAACAGCTAATCAATTTGGTTGAGACATCTAAGTGAGAGATGATAAGTTGAGTCCACAAATCAACCAGTCAGAATGAGTAACGGAGGCTGTGACTGGAAGCAGTCCTATATCAGGCAATGCCCAGTTGTGCTGTCCACTTGGGAGACATTATCCTTGTACCAAGAAAGCTGCCAAAGCTGCTATCACAGGAGGTGTGTCAGAAACAGGAATCATGACGCACCAGTGAACTCTAGGGCCACAAGACATACTGCCACTGTCT